CGGACTGACCATGGTATATTTTGCGTTGTGTATAAGTAATCCGTTTTATACGCCATCTTTTAAGCTTTTGAAAAGCTGCCATTTGCTACCTGACCAAAATAAACGCATATAAATACCGTGAATGGGTTATTATATACGCTTACGGGTCGAGACCCCTGATGTTCGATGGTATTTTTGTTCGACTCAGAGAGGTGATGCTGCTTCACACAAATGTACGTAGTTGCTAAAACACGACGCAGCTCCGATCTACTTAAACGGTACTCTTAACCACTATAAGCAAGGAGTGGCGTAACTTCGGCGTGTAAATTTAGAGAAGTGCCAGGGGATTGAAAAACTTACAATAAAATTTATTTCTTCTTTTTCTGAGCATGTTGACATATATGTACAATTTTTATTTTTTTGTATCGTTATAAAAATATTTCTATGGTAGACGGGTACAGCTTCATCGCCCCTACTCTTAAAAGGCAAATTCCAACAGTATTTTAGCAAGGACATTGAAATAATTCCAAATTTCGTCCTCTGTTGACAAGGATTGTGTTTCAGGCACCAACGCCGAATCAGGCGCTGGTAAATAATTAATCAGCAAAAATAAACAGACCGGAAATTCCTATGATACTCTGGCTGGACTTGCTACATGCAGGCTTTGATACAGTCAGGCAACATAGCATATCCGTTTCGCTTCTCCGGATTCGCTTGCAGTAATTGTACTAGTAATTTTCGTCTAGCCGCCCATGGAACCCTTTAAGTCGCCCGTGACCATACTGCTTTCTGTTCGACCTAACACAGTGATGCTGGTTTCCTCAAAGGTCTCGTTATTCTCATCAGTCTTTTTCCATCCAATGCTGGAAGAAAGCCTCTCCAAGACATTGCAATAAATTTCTGCTTGCTGCGGTGTGGTATCCCATCTTGATCCAGCAAACATCTTTAACTCATACCGCTCTCGATCTTAAGGTTTTTCTACGGACGCTTGACTATCCCTTGAAAGAAGCCAGTCTAGTACACCTCTAATCCAGTGATGATCAGTTTTACCTGCAACGTGCCCTGCCAATTACCGCTTTAGCTACTTCACTCAAACAATGATATCGCACACCGTGTTCTTATAAATTAATTCGTCTTCCTGTTGTTTCTTGTCATTCCCAACATAACGTCTTTTCATACCGTATTGCGTAGTCTGCAGTTTATGAACAGCCTTCACGTTCAAGGTCAACGTTTCGCAGTCG